AACGGTATACCCTCTTCCCCCCCCCCTCCCAGAATCGCCGAGTGCCAAGCCCCCAGTAACTACGGGGTCTCGAGTCAGCACCACCAATGGCTCCCAACAGGGGCCGGGGAGCGAGGGAGCGGAGGAGAAGAGGGAAAAACTTCGTGGTGACGTCACCAAGAGGTATGAAGCCAAGCAAGAGCGAGAGAAGAAACTCCGAGAGAAACAGAAGAAAGTGGCCAGCGCTGCTGAGGTAGGGTCTAGTCATAGTAGTGGTGGTGGTGGTGGTGGTTGTTGTTGTTGTTGTTGTTGTTGTTGTTGTTGTTGTTGTTTGTATTGTTGTTGTTACTGCCATTGTGCTGGAGGTGGTAGTGATGATTGTTGTTATTGATGGTGTTAATATTGCATCGTTGTTGTTGCTATTGTTGTTGTTGTTGGTCGTGGTGGTGGTGGTGGTGGTTGGTTGGTTGGTTATTGTTGTTGTTGTTGCTGTTGCTGTTGTTATTTTTGTTATTGTTGTTGTTGTTGCTGTTGTTCTTGTTGCTGTTGTTACTGTTGCTATGCTTGCCGTTGGTGTTATTGTGGTTGTTACTGTTGTTCTGTTGTTGCTTTTGTTGTCATCGTTGTTGTTGTATTTCTTATTGTCGGTGTGGGTGGCGTCAGTAGCCTAGTGCTTAAACTACCGACCAGTAATCGTGAAATTGTTGGTTCGAGGGTTCGAATTTACAAGAATGTCCAATTTGGCTCGGTCCTTTCGGAGATGGACGTTGAACTCGTAAATTCTCCTCTTAAATAACCTAATAGTGCTGATAGGGGCGTTATACCTACTTCATTTCACCATTTCATCATTTATTGTCAGCGTTGTTATTTGTGTTGTTGTTGTTGTTGTTGTTGTTGTTGGTGGTGGTGTTGTTGTTGTTGTTGTTGTTTGGTGTTGCTGTTGTTGTGGCTTCTTTTATTGAAGAAGGAAAAAAATACAATGACAATTTATCTACAAGCGTAGAGGAGATGTGTGGGCGAAAGTTACAAGGTGAACACTCTATTTAAATATTTACTTTGTTGAAAGGGACGTAAAACTTGTGTGTGCTTACTCACCTCCTTGCCTCACTCCGGTACGGTGGGTGGTTGGTGGGTGCTCTTATGTGGATTGCTCCTTCTTTCCTATTAAACTTATTATTGTCTTTATCTCGCCTCCTCCTTTATTTGTATGTGTTACTCTCTTGTAACACCTCTCGTCTGCGGCAAGTATATGACCTAATTGTGTAGCAAATGGTTCGGACATCTCATGCGATTACCAACACACCACCCAGCACAACGTGCGCACATAAAAAAAAATTATATGGCAACAAGACAAGAGTGAGACCGAGAAAGACCTGGATAGATGGAGTCAGGGAAACACTGACAACTCACGGCATCCCCATGACCCAAGCTCTCCAGCTGGTGGCAGAGAGACGTCTCTTTCTTCCCGCGACACCCTGAAGGGTATAAGCGGCGGAGAAAAGTAAACTAAAGTAAGTGTAGTAAATGTCTCAAAACTCTTACTGAGACAAAAAGATTTACTTCGACCTTACAGCGAGCTGTGTGTAGTCAAAGATAGTAAATAACAAGATGGGCCACTCAGCCAAAAAAGTGTCCGCAGGA